CTCTGCCCAGCCTCTGGGGGGGCTTCAGCATCTGGGTGGAGCTGCTGGAGTGATGGGGAGAGCCCTGGGCAGTGGAGCAGGGATGCTCTGGAGCTGCTGCTGGGCGGTGCAGAGCCTGGAGAGTGCTCAGCTGGAGGGAAGTGGGGCAGGACCTGCAGGTCGGTGTGCCCAGCTCTGCTGTGGGGGTGATCTCAGCGCCTTGGGTGCTGAGGTGCAACCTTCGACACCCCCTCTGTGTGCTGGGTGCTGAGGTGTGTGCTGGAGCACTGGGTCTTGCAGCCTTCTGACTATTTTTTTCCAATTTTACTCGGGATGGATAGGTTGGCTGTTCAAATGCCAACCTCGGTGCTGTTTGCTCTGTGCGGGGGTTGTCCAAGGGGCGCGTAACCTTCAAGTGCTCTGCTCTAAAACCCATGTGCTTTTAGTGGGATGAGCTTCTGGTTCCCGGCGACAGGGCTGCGTTTGTGGCCCTTTGCACCCTTTGCTTCAGCAGGCAAGAAACTGTTTTGCTGTTGATGTTCCTGTTCTCACCGCTTGATGGCCTGAAAAGCGGCTTCTTTTGTTTGTTTGTTTGTTTGATTTTGAGTGCTGTAGGTGCCGTTCAGCAGCCGAATTCGCGCCCGTGAAAGGGGCTCCTCCAGCCCCCCCCCCCAGCAGGGGGGTCCGCGCAGCTCCTGCTGTGCAGGGATGGGGCGGGCAGGGCAGGTCGGACCCTGTTCCCACAGCTGCATCCCACAGGGCATCGGTCCTCGCCCGGGGTTGTGCAACGGGGGCCGAGGTGAAGCTTTTAAATGTCGTTGTTCAGCTTTCGCTTGGGCTGCTTTGAAGTGGAGCTGCAGAAACCGCCGCGTGCTGGTCCCTTCCTGCTCCTCAGCCCCCGCCAGCCCTTCCTGGCTTTGCTCTGCAGGGGCTGGTTTGACCCCTCTGCTGCTGCCTCCTTGGGACTGAGCATCTCTGTCCTGCCCACGGAGATGCCTCGGGAGTCACCTGGTGCTTTGAAACGCACGTTGCAAGGTGCCAGCAGCAGCAGGTGACAGCACTCCTGGGCACGTCCCCTGCCCGAGCTCAGGCTGGGACGCAGCAGTTGCCCTCGGGCGAGCAGGGTTTATTTTTGTATTGCATGCTGAGTGTGAACTAACTGGAAACTACCAATTAAGTGATTAACTTTTGCTGATTTGTAAAGATGCAAGCTAGATAGGCCAAGATGTTTCTTGCTGACTGTGGCTTCTGCTGCGGTTCCATCCCAGAGACCTCTGCAGTTCCTCAGCATTTTATTAAGCATCAATGATTCGAGCTAAAATTTTCCAGGCCACACCTAAGCCTTCTGGGGAGGCTGCAGTTGATGGCAATCATTTCTGGGAATGGTTTCAAGAAAAAAACGCATTTTTTGATGATGCTGAACCTCTCGTGGAAACCGGTGTAGTTGTTTGTCTGTTTGTTTGTCACGCTTTGCTGCGTGGAGATACAGACTTGGGGCGTTGCTTCATCACTGCGGGTGGTGCTCGGGTCCCAGGGCTCCCACCCTGCTTGGGGCTGGGGGGTTTGATCGTTGCCCCCAGCAGGTGGAGAGGGCTGTGGGTTATAGTGCTCGCTGGGCTGCAGTGGCTGCCCTGCATGGCCCGTGCTGCGGCAGGAGGCACCAGGAAGGAAGTCAGCAGCGTGTGTGTCCCTGTGTCTGTGCAGGCAAGAGCTGGAGCCGTTTCCGGAGCAGGGTGGCTGGGCTGGGCTGTTACACCATCACTGCTCCCTGCACTGCATCGTTTGTGGCACGCCCAGGGATGCAGCTGCAGGTTTGCACACCTGCAGCCTTGTCTAGACCTGAAATCCTGTGGTCAGTGGAGGCCGGAGCAGGGCCCAGCAGAGGGACGTGCCAGGAAGGGGAGTCATGTGCACACTTGGGATAAGTTCTCATCAAGTTCATGCTGGGTGGAGTTTCCCTCTAGTTTTTAATTAGTGCTAAAGTGGAGGGGCCATGTGTTGTTCCGAGGCAGCTGGGCAGGAGAGGAGGAGACTCCTTGGTGGCTGGAATAACAATTAGTGTCTGTACTTGAAATGTTCTTACAAACATCCTCCGAGGCCGGGACCCTCCTGCGCGGAGGGGCAGCTGCTGCAGGGGGGCTGGAGCGCCCGATGGATGCGTGTCATGCTCAGGCTGCTGTTCCCTGGGGTTTTACACTTCCCAGCTGCTCCCACCCCCTGTGCCTTCTCCCTTCCAGGAGGTTTCATGTCCTAAAAGAGCAGCCGCCTTTCCGCTTCCCTCAGTTTCCCCTCCTGGCTCAAGGCCGCGTGGTGCAGCGGAGCCGCTGCCTCGGGGCGGGGGGCTGAGCTGGGACCACCAGCCCCACCAGGACCCCCATTCCTCCGGGCTGGGGGG